TCAGCATATAATCCACAGTTGTCTTTGATCTTTTGACTTTTCACTTCTAAGAAATTATATGATAACGCTTCTTCAACCCAGAAATTTCCAAATAGTTCCAGTATTTCAAATAGTCCAGATAAATATATTCCTAGGAGTTTGAGACTAGAAGGCCAAACAGAGGTTTTCTGCTTGACAGGAGCATCAGGTTTTGAGTAGGAGCATGCAGAGGCAGGAATCAAGGTGCAATATCCAGGGTCCAGGGCTCCAGGGAGACTCTGTGCTTTAGCCAAGAGTTGTGCCACTGTGCCTGTGTTGTGTTAGAGCCAAAAACACCGTCTGAGGCAGTCCCTCAATGCTCAGGGTAGGTCCACCATGCTTACTTCAGGGTCAGGCCAGTGTGCCTGGAGTGGGTGCAAAGTTGCTGCCCTGAAGTTAGAGGTGGAGTGGCTGGGCATGGGTTGGTGGTGGTCTCACTGTCTTTGGGCAGGTCCCAGGCAAGGAGTAAAACCAGAGCTCACAATTTCTATCCTCTGGCTGTGATAGCAGGTATATAACATAGAAGGTGCTTCAATATGGAAACACCGTCTCGCCAGCTCTTGCATAAATTACGGATGTAGCTCATGGACCACCACTATGAAGGAAGTAGTGAGAGGGTCCTCTCTGGAAGGTGGCATGTAACTGCTCTCACATGGAGGCAGGGAAAGCCTCCAGACCTGCTAGGACACTGGCCTGCCACCAGTTGCCCACCTGCAGAGCCTGAAGTAGCCACCTCTGTGTGTGGTGAAATTGGACACTGGCTGGAAAATTTCAGCCTGCCTCTGTTCATTACATATAAAATTGTTTTAAGAAATCTAATTATCTACACACCACATTCCCACCCCACCCCCACCAACCTCCCACCACCACCCACAGCAGCAGTTTTGGATCCCATTCATTTCCATTTCCATTTCCACCCTTTACCCAATTCAACCCAAAATTCAGCCCCATGTTACAGGAAACTCTGCAACATATTCCAATTCAGACTGCATCAGATTTGTGATGTGGCAGTGTTTTGTGTTGTAGTTATTTGGACCAAACTGTTGACTTCATGACTAAAGAGTGGAGCTAGAATAAAAATTTGTAACTCGCCACGGTTTTGAGAAACCCTGATTTGACCTTGTTATGAGTTTATCAGTAACCGACTGCACTGTCCCCTTATAAAGGGACCTCTCCCTTTGGATCCAGCATAGGAAGAGTTAACATGCACCTCCCTTTAATTTCCATGCCAGTTTCAATCATGGAAACAACTTTCACTGTATCTGTCATTTCACGTTCTGAATTACTAGTCCACTGACATTTCTACTACTCCACCACCACCTCCCCCTATTTATTTTGCATTATTTGAGGGGATTCACAAAGAATTCCTAGCTCATCTTTTGTAATCTTCCAGCATTTCCCTTTCTCTTGTCTATCATTGTCTCCTTCTTTCCCCTCCTATCCCCACACTTCACCATCTCCCTCCTCTTGCCCTCCATAACAGATGGTAAAGACCAGCCCTTGGTGAGGATCAGGATGATGATTCAGTGATTAAATAGGAAATGTGCCAGTGAAGGAATTAAATCAGTGTTATTGTCACCATTAGCAGAATACATGACAGCCACTTCATGCCAGTAAGCTAAGCAATAGTCTGTTCTCTCAACTGGTGCAATATCTTTGATTTAAAAGTCAGAGAAATACATTAAGATAACAAGAAAATTGAAAAGAAAACCGAGTTGCATGTTTCTGTTTAAAATAAAAAGAATTAAGACATGCATGAAAAACAAGACGAACAACAATAAGGGTGGGAACTAGAAGAAAAGGAGACAATGACAGACAAGAGAAAGGGAAATGCTGGAAGATTACAAAAGATGAGCGAGGAATTCTTTGTGAATCCCCTCAAATAATGCAAAATAAATAGGGGGAGGTGGTGGTGGAGTAGTAGAAATGTCAGTGGACTAGTAATTCAGAACGCAAAGCTAATGATCTGGGGACATGGGTTCAAATGGCACCATGGCAGATGGTGAAATTTGAATGAAAACTTCTGTGATTAAAAGCCAGTCCAAGGGTGACCACTTAGCCACTGTTGATTGTTGTAAAAGCCCTTATGGTTCACTAACATCCTTTAGAGAAAGAAATCTACCATCCTGACCTGGTCCGACCTCAGGTGAATCCTGGCTCACAGCAATGTGGTCACCTCTCAAATGGCCGAGACAGCCACTCAGTTGATTGATTTATTGTTATGTGTACCTAAGTACAGTGAAAAGCTTTGTTTGCAAGCAGTACAGGCAGATCATAGTCAACAAGGACATACAGATCATAGGGTGAAAAAAAACTTGGACAGAGTAAGGCATACAGGTTACACCGCACAGGACATGCACGAGGCAAGATCAACATTAACAAGATCAACATTATTTGAAGTTAGAGTCCATTCGTCAATCTAATAATAGTAGGGATGAAGCTGTTCTTGAACCTGCTGGTGCATGTGTCTAAGCTTCTGCATCTTCCGCCTGTTGGAAGAGGTTGTAGGAGAGCATTACTGGGGTGGGAGGGGTGTTTGATGGTGTTGGCAGCCTTTCCATGGTAATGAGAGGTGTAAATGGAGGTCATGGATGGGAGGATGGCTTCCTGATGGTCTGGGCTGTGCACCTTCTGTAGTTTCTTACGGTCCTGAGCACAGCAGTTGCCGTACCAGGCCATTATGCACTTTGAGGTTGGTGAGGGACCTTATGGACATGCCAAATTTCCTGAGCCACCTTAAGAAGAAGAGGCATTGTTGTGCCTTCTTGACTGTCATATTTACGTGGGAAGTCCAGGACAGGTCATTAGTTATCATCACTCCTAGAAGATTGATGCTGTCAACCCTCTCAATCTCCGTTCCGTTGATGTAGATGGGGGAGTGTTCTCCTCCTTTCTTTCTGAAGTCAATGATCAGTTCTTTAGTTTCGCCGACATTGAGAGAGAGGGTTGTTACCATTGCATCACATCACCAAGCCCTCTATTTCCTTTCTGTATTCTGAATCATCATTAAAAACCAAAAGAACTGCAGATGCTGTAAATCAGGAACAAAAATAGAAGTTGCTGGAAATGCTCAGCAGGTCTGGCAGCATCTGTGGAGAAAAAATCAGAGTTAACGATTCAGGTCCGGTGATCCTTCCTCAGAACTGAGGTTCTGGGGAAGGGTCACTGGACCCAAAACGTTAATTCTGATATTTTTCTCCACAGATGCTGCCAGACCCATTGAACTTTTCCAGCAACTTCTGCCTCATCATTGTTTGATATCCGCCCTACCACGGTGGTGTCATCAGCAAACTTGTAGATGGCGTTCATTCGGAATTTGGCAACACAGTCATGGTTGTACAGGGAGTACAGTAGGGGGCTGAGAACGCATCCTTGGGGGGAGTTCCAGTGTTATCGTGGAGGAGATGTCTATCTTCACTGATTGTGGTCTATGAGTCAGAAAGCTGAGGATCCAGCTGCAGAGGGCAGAGCTGAGACCAAGGTCCAGGGCAATGAATGGCAGTATTGCCACATTCCATACAAGAATAAACAAAATGAAATTTGATATTCAGTGGTGATTTGTTTGATAAAGTGTGATGAATATTCATAATTTTTCATGTTCCTATTTTACGCTTTCCAGATTCTTGCCTATTCAATCTCTTCCACTCTCTGCTCAGTTACTATTTAATGCAGCATAAATGACAGATACAAAAAAAAAACTGTTGGAAATAATCTATGGAGAGAGAACAGTGTTAACGGGTGGAATTTTCTGATCTCACTTTGACCTTCTAAACGGGCAGGTGAGGGGAACCAAAATTGGGCAAGATGCCAAATTTCAGTTTAGGAAAATAGGACATAGGAACAGGAGAAGGCCATTCATTCCTCGAGCCTGCTCTATCGTTCAATGGCTGATCTGTGGCCAAACTCCTGCCTTGGGCCCATTGCCTTGCTTACTAAAAATTTGTCAATCCCAGATTTCAATTTGACAATTGAATTAGCATTGGCAGCCATTTGAGCAAGAGAGTTCCAAGCATACACCACTCTTTGCGTGTAGGAGTGCTTTCTAACATCTCTCCTGAATGACCTAGGTCTAACTCTCAGACTATGTTCCCTGATTCTAGAATCTTCAACCACTGGAAATAGGTTATCTTTATCTACCCTTTTTTTTAATCTGTTAATATCCTGATATCTTGATTAGATTAAATTTCTAAATTCTAGAGAACAAAGGCCTAATTTGTCTAATCTCTTCTCATAACTTAACCCCTGAAGTCCACATATCATCCTTGTAAACCTGTGTTGAACTCCCTCCAGGGCCAATACATCCTTCCTAAGGTGTGGTGCCCAGATCTGCTCACAGTACTGTAAGTGGGGTCTAACTAGTGTTGTATAACTGCAGCATAACATTTGCTTCCCACACTCCAGCCCCTTAGATATGATGGCCAGCAATTCTATTAACCTTCCTGACTATTTTCAACACCTGTTTGTGGCATTTTAAAGAATTTAGCACCTGAATCCCCAAACGTCATTCGGTGTTCACTGTATTTAACTTCGTGTCTTCTCAAAAATACCCTGATCTATCCTTTCTTAGCCCGAAATGGATAACCTTACACTTGCTTATAAAAAAAAAACCATTTTTCACAGCTTAGCCCATTCACCTAATATTTTAATATCCTGTGGCAATTTTGTCATCAATACTGTCGACAATGCTGCCCAATTTTGTCTCATCAGCAAACTTGGGCATTTCAATTTTTATGTCATTATTCAAGTCATTAATGAATATTGTGAATAATTGAGGGCCCAACATAGAATCCTGCAGGACTTTACTGGCAATGGGTTAAAGTTTTGCTGTAAAGCTCTCAGAATATTTCAGGCAGGTTGGCTTTCTCAACCATCACGGTCAAAAACCTGTTTTGCAATCATCAGCATGTCAGGAATGCTCATTAACAGCCCAGCCTGCTGGAATTACATTCGCAGACACAATTTCATTAGCCAAAATTGGGAAACACGTGCTCACAAAACTATAGGGTGCGTACCCGGAAACGTAGACTTGTTCCTCCACGGTCTGGTGAGTACAAACGTCTTCATGGATCCTTCGTAACCAGCGTATTACTTTGTTCAAATGTGTACAGCATTGGGAGTGAAGCCTTTCCATGTTGATCAGTTCATGAGACATCTTGGTCATATGCAGTTTTGCTTGTAGTTGGTGAACACTTACAGTGTTAGCGGTGAAGACTGACCAAGTCAACAAACCTGCCCAAGTAAGACAGCCACACTAACTGATGCCGGCTAACATGACCAGGGCAGGCAAGTGAGAATGAACTCAAAAGGGGGCCCAGAAGGGAAGGCATTCTTTTGTGACTGTGTTCTTGTCCCATATAATCCTTTGGTGAAAAACTAGCAGATTTGTAGATTTTGTAAAAGGGAAAATTTCAGAGTCATGCAAGAAAAACAGAAAATGCTTGAAATCAAATAAGATGTCAATCAACGCCTGAGGGAGAAAAATAGGCAACATGTTTGTGATATACGTCCTTCATCAGAACCTCGTATTTTAGTTAATGTAAAAACAGAGCTTGAATGGATGAATAAGTATTACAAAAACAAAAACAGCATGCAAAATGCAGCAGCAGAAAAGAGACAGGGCATTGTTTCTGGAACTGCTAATTTAGGAGTAGTATGAAATTTAAGCCTGAAATTGATCTTGGACAACAATATTATGTCACAACCTGCCAATTCTCTTTTTCATTGAAGTTAACAAAAAATACACATCAGTTGTTCTTTTTTCTTCAAGCCACGGCAAACAGCATATTGGGCAGAATATGAATTGTGATTGGAAAGAAATGTTTATTAATTCAAAGTGTGACTGATGTACACAAGTACTCCTATGTTGTGTATATAAGTGTATGCATATATATAGGAAATGGATAAGTTACGTAAACAATAGAGTGACCAATAAAACAGTAAGCAGATGCAGGATACTAAAGACACCATGATTAATGGAAATCCAACAAATATTTGATCACTTGACGTATGATCTCTATGTAATTTCAATTTGCCAGAGGGAAGGAACACAATGCAGCAGCGCACAGCAGTTTCTAGGGCCTGCACAATGCAGTGCCAGGATGTGGGCTTTAACCCATAATTGTGCTCCTAGTCCAGATTCAAAGCTGCAAGGCATCAATAAGCTGCTCACCCTTTTTATTTAAATTTAGAGACTGATGCTCAGACTCCTACTTCCATTCAAAAGTTAGAGGGTCAACCCCATGTCCTTGTTAAATGTGCTTTGTTGAGTAAATGTTCTTGTTTACTGTCACAAGTATTTTAGGAATGACTCAGTGAATTATTAATGCCCAACGGCAGAAAAAGAGAAGTGTGTTTATAGAAGGCTGCTTCATTAACAAATTTTCCTGAGTATACTGAAAGGCATTTGACACATTTTACTGGCCTTATTGAGGGCAGGGAACCTTCCTGAGAATGCCAACCAGCAACTAACTGACCAGTGACTGCACAAGTAGAGAAATTTTAGAAAAATAATATATCGACAAGTCCTCTAATCCTGCAGCTTTCTGTGACAATTTTTCAAGATCCCAAGTTTAACAGACCCAGCTTTTTCAAAGCTTCTCTATGATCTGTTTCTTTTGGTGATTGCAAAGATTTTAACTGTTGAGTTCCTTCTGTTGCAAAAGGTTGAGAGGATGAGGAGTTGTTGCTGTTAGACAAGCCTCCAGCAAATTTCACAAGTCCTAGTCTTTGAAGGGCATCTTGCCTTGCTGCCTTTTGCTCAGGCCTTCCAAGCAATCGGAGGGAGTCGGACTGAGCAGCCAAACCCTCCATCTGACCACTTGGTTTCTTCTGGCCAGACCCACTAAGGCGGGCTAGAACCTGGGCTCGGAGCTCCTGCACACTAACCCCTGACCTCAAAATGGTATCAAACTTTTTAGCATGAGCAGGAAGCAAAGTAAGTGTTCTGGATGAACTTTGTTCATCAGGTGAAGTCTCTCTGGACTGGTCTGAGGGCTTGGTTTCCAATGCTATTATCGTGTCGCATCCTTGATGTCTCATTGATTCCTTCCCCTGCTTGCTCTCTTTGAACGTTGCTGCTTGGTTAGGTGTTGTATCACCCACTGGAATTGACTCTGTATCTCTGTTACTGATCACTTGAGCAGGCGGGCTACTGGTGATTATATCCACATTTCCAATAATTCCAATACTGTCACAGGTAGCCGCACCATCTAAAAATATTAAAAGTTCACATATCAATGCTACCTCAAATATACAAAGAATATTGAGAAAATGATCCTCGCCATTACTATCATGTGCAATGCTGTCCATATCTAGTGAATGGAGGAGGACATTTATCTCGAAATTATGATAGTACAGTAATGAACATAATGAACTACTTTGAAAATTCAGATAAATCTAAGCCTAAATATTGGACCGCATCATCTTCTCCCAATTAGTGGTTCATTTTCTTTACATTAAAATGCGTACTGAAACTCAGCGTGTCTCTGATGAAGTTTAATTTTTCTCACGTGCACATATATAGGAAAAGGAGAGCCTTTTTGCCATGTATTGGAAAAAAAATCAAAAATGGAAGACAATTGCATTGAGAGCACATTTTTAAGCTTTTATTTTCTGGTGGAAAATGGCATGGATTTCTGTTCACAGTGGTAGGGAAAGGCAATGTGCTTTCATATTGATGAGGAAGTAGAGCATAGAACATTTCAAAGAAGGCAACATCCTAGCAACTATGATTGACATGTACTAGACCAACAGAGACAGAGGCCTGCAACAGGCCATCTATCTGCCATAAAGGACAGGGAATGTTCATTCACATGCCACATCCTAGTAAGGGTTGAACAGAGATAACCACGCTATTCATCAAACAGTAATCCTTATGGAATTAGCTCAAGATTTAAATATCAGCTCAATTTTCTATGGCTGTTTACTGACTACCCTTCTTCAGCAGACATGTGCATTTATGACCTATCCTCAATTTAAACTCTCACTTTCTAATATTCTTTTTATATTTTTAATTTCACATTCTAACCTTCAGTTAAACTGAAAGAAAGGAATGCACAAAATCCTTGACTGCACTGTTGTACTGTTTGCAAGTGGCCCGTTGTAATTAGTTCTTCACTCTGAGGCCAAGGTTACAATACAGTTGGCGGGGGAACAATCTCAGTTAGGGAACACTACATGGTGAGGGCAGGGTCTAATGTGTCTAAGAGGATTACCAAAAGCGAGAGTTAAACAAATGCCCTTAACATAAACTCAAAGTCTGTGTGAATGTCAGTTGCATTTGATTTGCAGCTGATGCAGATTTAATTGTCTGCATTATCCTTGGAAGATTGGGAAGATATGTGGTGGTAGGCCGTCCATCATCCTATTTTATCTAAATACAAACAGACGGAAATGGTTTCAAAAGATGTTGACTATGTAATGAAAGCCTTAGTTTCTGTATATGCCTATGGTCGTGTATTGCATATGGCGTAGCACCTGTCTTACCTGCCACATTCAACCATTGCAGGCGCATTAGGAAATATGTGTCAGAAACAATCTGTGGTAGGGGTTGCAAGGAAGTTGAAGTGTATCTGGCAAAATTGGCGGAAAGAATGCTGATTCTTAACATGATGCATAGTGACACACAAACTGTAGTTCCATGTTAAGGTAATGCCTGTGTCTGGCAGAAGTCAATTCTCAGCAACTTACAAGGTATACATGTTCTATGACTACAATCAGTTTTTAACTCCTTCTAACTGGAAACAGCAGCATGGCTAATGAAGTAGTTCCTTCATGGGAACATTTTTCAGGTATCAATCTTAAATCATTGATCAATTTTGGTTTAATGCAGATAATCTAAGAACTCAGACGTATATATCTGCAGCTGTAAAGCTACATAAACTCTGCAATAATTTCAAATCCTTGCCCTTCTCATGCTCCAACTTTGTAAATTTTGGACTTGACAAAATGATCTTCCTAACCATGAGGCTTCCTTCATACAAGTCAATCTGGGACAATATTATATTGATTAGAGAATTTCTCTTTAGAAAGAGCCTGGATGATAAGATTAGTTGCCTGACACCAGATATTAGGAGAATGAAGGTAATATACGGACTTCAGATTTTGCAGGTGCTTTTTCTTGGAATAAATTCAACTTTTGACCAAAATTAAACTGTTGGCCAGACGCTGCTCATACATAAAGACAATAGCTGTGATCTGAAGTTACTTAAGCCCTAGCTGCTGGCTCGAACTGTTTTGAGCTGGTTCAGCTCTGAGGGTTGAAATAAGGGGGAAATCCTTATTTAGTGGAAGAGTAATAAGGTAATCCTGAAGGTGCCCTTGGAGTGAACTTATATTGGAAAGAGACTGCTCTCAGATGAACTGAGAACCGACAGGAACAAGACACCACAGTTCGGGAAGTTAAGGAAAAGGGATAAAATTGAAGGATTTTGGTGTGCCATCAGTGAAAACTCCAGAGAACAACCTTCATGAAGTCACGGACCCCACACTTGCAAGTGTGGAGAGGACCCCAAGACCTGGGAGAAAAGTGTTTTGCCAGCGTGAGCTTCTTTTCTTCGGTATTAGCTTTTATATTTGTTGACTGTTCCAGGAATGTCAAGCTTAGTGGGTGTGCGCTAGGATTTTAGCCTTGCATGAATTGCATGCCTACTGTTAACCTTTTCCTAACCAAATAGTGCGAATTGTACGTCTGTTTTAACTAAACTAATAAAGATAGTAGTTGGTTGATATAGACTTGACTCTCGTCCTGTTTGTGCCAAGCCAATAACTGTTGTCAAGGGAGGTAACTGGGCAACAAAACCAAACCATAATCATTCTGTTGGCTGTGATTCACTGTACAATGAGAACCCACCTGCGCTTGCTGTATCTTCGGTTTGTCGACTGCTGCATACCATTCCTAGAAACTCATAAAAACCATCACTGATAGCGCCATCCCCCTTTGCCAGCCCCTCCTCATCATCTCGCTCCAAATCCACCTCTAATGAGTCAATGGTTTCAATCAAATAACTGAGGCATTCTTTTTCCTCTTCTGACAAATGCCGTAAGAACTCATCTTCCTACAGACAAAATGGAACAAAACATATAATTCAGTCAGCTTCCAGTCTGTTTGTAATACCTTACAAAGCAGAACAATTGTGACCTCTTCCACAGGGTCAAAGCCTAGATGCATATAATAGGATTAACAGACAGAGGACATGTTAATCTATTCATCTTTGGCAGTATTACTATCCATCCTTACTCCGAGTAGCCTGGTAGTAGGTTTCCTTAAACCACAGCAGTCAGTGGAATTACGTTTCTGCTCCAATAATGTTAAGGTGGAAACTTTCAGGATCTTGACCCCATTGTGATGAAGGAATGAGGATATATTTCCAAGTCAGTATACATATATGACTTGAAGGGGATCTCAGGTGTTTCTATGCATCTGATGAGCTTCAGCTTTCAGGTAATTACAGTATATTGTGAGATCTGAGTATTTTGTTAGATTTATCCTCTCTGCTGGGAAGGTGTAAATGAAGTTAGTTCAGTAATGGCTGCTTGTTGAGTACCCACATTGTGAATTCTCCTTCATGCAACACATAACATTGGTGGAGTAATCAAGTTTAGTGATGTTTTTGCAGACACTGTACAGAATTTCTGCATTTTTAAAAATAGCAAACCACTTTGGTGGTGTGGTGATTTTAAAGGCTATATTCATGAAGTAGCCGGCATTATGTAATATGGTTATGCCTCATAAAGCCATGTATACATCAAAGTCTTGATTACAGCATACACTTCCTGTTACAATACTTACTCCTGCATTACTATTTTTGTCACATGTAGCTCAATCCCATATCACGTTTTTTATGCGTTTGTAATATCTGCTTCTACATTACACATATAGACATCCTCAGATAGCACCTTCCAAACCCACGACCACTTCCATCTAGAAGGATAAGGGCAGCAGATACATGGGAACACCACCATCTCCAAGTTCCCCTCCAAGCCACTCGCCATCCCGACTTGGCCTAACTTCACTGTCACTGGGTCAATATCCTGGAATTCCCTCCCTAATGGCATTGTGGGTCAACCTACAGCAGGAGGACTGCAGCGGTTCAAGAAGGCAGCTCCTACCACCTTCTCAAGGGCAACTAGGGATGCGCAAGAAATGCTGGCCAGCCAGCAATGCCCACATCCCACAAATGAATAGAAAAAGAAATGTCATTATGATTTCAGTCCTTTCAACATTAGCTGGTGCCACTATGCCCCATTTAAGAAAATTCAGCACAAGAAATAGATTGTATCACCCACCCCAAATCTTGTCACAATTAATGCTGCACGCCCCCTGCACTACCTACACAATCATTCCCCAGTTGCACCAAAAATAAGAGCTCTGTCACCCACTTTTATCTCCTGTAAAACCAGTTTCTCTCTCATTCCAGGAGAAAGACCAAAACCACACCTTCAACACACACCCCTTCCCACACACCGCTCAAGCCATCGCCACCTTTCAATATATTCATGGCTGATCTTTTGCCTTAACTCCATCCAACTCATGGACTGGCCCAGGCTGCATCTCTGGGTTTTTCACTTGCTCTCTTAGTACACACTCACTCTGAGCCTACTTGGATACTTGCAGCATCCCTGCCTTGCATTGCCTTGCCTTTTTGTGCTTTGCCCCCTCAGTCAGAGGTCCACGGCTCATATTACTTCTGTCTCATCCTGCCATTTAATGCAGACACAAAGGCAGGGAGTCTTTCATTGTTGACAGCAGGCCTCTGTCAAGTCAAGAAAGAGAGAGCCTTCAGGCAAGGGGTCCCAAGCCTGTGATACCAGTCAAGGGCCTTGAACACAGTATTCCAGCCACTCAGTGTGGTCAGCGTCAGAACGTTCTCCACATAAAACGATGAAGAGCAGAATGTCAGGCAGCCTTCCCTTTGACTTGGCTCTTTCTGCGCTATTTTCGATCGTCTTTCTCCTGGAATGAGAGAGAAGTAGGTTTTACGGGAGATGAAAGTGGGTGGTAGAGCTGTTATTTTTGGTGCAAGTGGGGAATGATTGAGTAGGTAGTGCAGGGGATGTGCAGCATTAATGGTGACAAGATTTGGGGTGGGTGACAGCAAATGTGGGAAGATGTTGCAGGCAATAGAGACAGTAATGGAGTGTGAACGTTGGTGGAAGATGGGCACAGTAGCAGAGACAAAATGATGATTGTCTTCATCGCTCAGACCTTTGAGTATAGGAGTTGGAATGTCATGTAGAGGTTGTACAGCACGTTGGTGAGGTCACTTCTGGAGTATTGTGTGCAGTCTGGTCGCCCTGTTATAGGAAGGGTATTATTAAACTGGAGAGGGTTCAGAAAAGATTTACGACGATGTTGTGGCAATGAAGGGTTTGAAATTTAAAAAATAAACTGGATAGGCTGGGACTTTTTTCACAGGAGCGTAGCGGGTTGAAGGATGACCTTATTGATGTTTATAAAATCATGAGGTCCACAGATAAAGCGAATGAGGGAGTTCAAAACTAGGGGTCATATTGTTAAGGTAAGAAGAAAAGTATTTAAAAAGAAAATGAGGGTCGATTTTTTTACATAGAGAACAGTTTGTGCGTGAAATGAACTTCCAGAGAAATTGGTGGATACAGGTATTGTTACAACATTGAAAAGACATTTGGATAAGTTCATGAATAGGAAAGGTTTGGAGGGATATGGGCCGAGCACAGGCAGGTGGGACTAGTTTAGTTTGGGAACATGGCTGGGTTGACTCGTTGGACTGAAGGATCTGTTTCTGTGCTGTATGAATCTATGACTCTATGAGCCAGAGATATTGGAGAGTAATGGTGCCACTTACACTTGTGGAGTGGAGAAGGCCCTTCTCCACACAGTGCTGTGCATTGCTCCAAATGGCAGAGATTGCTTTATCCTGGGTGGCAGCCTCAGCCCATGTTGGCATAGTCTCCACTGTTTGACCTGAGGAAAAAGGAAGTCCTGTCTTTGTACCATGCCATCCAGTAGGATCTTCAGGTCAATGACCACAACGCAAGGTAATCAGTTGCCCTTTCTGCCATGCCTGGAACAAATGTCAAGAACAATGCAGGGCAGGTCTGGACTGACAGTGCTTATCCAGGTGCACAAGAGGCTTTTAAAGGTTGTGCAGGCACAAGGGATGCCTGTCAACTCCGGGATATTTACTGAACGATGAGTTGTTGTGGAAAGGGCTTGTTGTAAGAAGGGCGCTGGAAAGGGATGTGAGGAATGCCTTTGGAGTAAGCTAGGTAGTTAATGAGGCCAATTTTGTAAGGTATTGTGAGAAGACTTGCTAGGCCTCATGGTGGGAATCCTTCCAAAAAACTCGAGGCAACTCAAATGTACTCAAAAAAGTTCCTAAGATGCAGAGATAGCAAGAACTGCAGATGCTGGAGTCAGAGATAACACAGTATGGAGCTGGAAGAACACAGCAGGCCAGGCAGCATCAGAGGAGTAGGAAAGTTGACATTTCGGGTTAGGACCCTTCTTCAGATGCAGCCTGTAGTTCTATCTCCCATTTCTGCCTGATTCCTTTTCCCACCTGACCTGAGATTTTTCAATTGGTTTAATTATTCTTTTTGATTTTATCTGCAATAGCAGCAGGTCCTCACACTTAGGCTTCCAAAGTTCTACTATACTCAACTTTGCCTTTAGGCCTTTTGCTGTTAAACTGCACCATTGCCTGTCTTCCTCCTCAATTGCTTGTGCCATTTCTCGTTCTTTAGTTAGTCACCCAATATGCAACTCACACCTCCACTTCCCTTTACATGAAAGCTCCAAATCTCCCAAAAATGAATACTGATAGCTCTATAGCAGTGCTGGAATTCTTGTTTCAAATGTCTGTGGTTCAAGTCCCACTCCAGAAACTTGTACACAAAATCTAGGCTGACACCTCAGTGCTGTACTGAGGAGGTGCTGCACTGTTGGAGATGCAATCTATTAAATTAGACATTAACCCAAAGCCTCGCCCACTCTCTTAAGTGAACATGAAATGTCCCATGTCACTATGCAGCCCCTGCTGTGCTGACCAATGTTTATTCCTGAACCAACATTACTAAAAACCTGTTTATCAGGTCATTTATCTCACGGCTGTTTATGGAAACTTGCTGCGTACAAAAGGGGAGCCTCATTTCCTACATTACAACTTCAATACTTCATGGCTGTGAAGAATTCTAGAAAATCCTGAATTTATGCGTTACACTAACATAATGCTTCATTTCTTCATGATTATCTATGTTGAAAATTGACACCAATCAAGTGACACCATCACCATAAAACATAAACTCTCACCTCCAGAACTGTAACCTTCACTTCCCATTGCTATTTCCAGACAGATACCCCTGCCCCATGTGTTCACCCTCCCTTTGCTCTCTAGACCTCCCACTGCATGATTAACTCTCACCCAATTTCTTCTTCACAGAGGAAGTCTTAACTTACTTTGGCTAAATCTCTAACTTTCTCCCCTCACAATATTCTCATCCTGCGAGATGCAAACCAGAACAAAGCTGCCTACTAACAGTTTACCCAAAAGCTTAATTCCCTCTTGTACCCAGTCTGACTTAAAAATCATTTGTTTTTATTCCTGCAACACACACACACAATTTTCCTTTATACTTTTAAGGAATGTAAAAAAAGTCACATCGCTCTCTTTTTATATTGCTGTCTTATCATCAATTCCCAAAACATTTGAAATACATACCACTTATTACATCAGTCACTGCCATAAACAGCTGGCAGCAAACTGGCCACACTGGAAAACAGCTACATTTTATTAAATAGTCCATCTTCAGAGACTCTACTCATTGCCTGTTTGATAGCTGTTAAGCACTCCCAAAAATGAAAATATTAAAGAAAAAGACTGCATCTTTTCATATCCAGAGCAATGCCACCTTTAAATTATTTTCATTTTGTACATATCTGACACATTTAAATGGACAATGAATGAGTAGTCTGTGTGGCGCCTCGTGGTTGCTATAAATCTGTGTGCACAGATCTTATAAGGGATCCCTTATATTTCCATGAAAACTCACAGAAAAACTGGGCGCTCCTTGCAACATGGGGTGTGATGTGTGATGTGCCTGTCGAGGGTCCATATACTCCATCTGAGTGATGCCTTTCCATCAACCTGGGAAATTCTGGCATGGGCAACAATGGTGGACATAATTCAAACTTACCATGGGGACTGTATCTTAGCCCTTCTGAGCCATATCCTGGTGTCAACATTATCGTCCAGTTATGAGAACTACAATAATTTATATTGATATAGTGTCTTTAGCATCAGAAATGGCTGCAGGAGCTCCACCAGAGGATTACAAAACAAAATTTGGCACTGAGCAACAGTGGATTCTGTTGTTCATGAAGATGTCCTGCCTTCCACCCCAGCCAGAAGCTGGTGACAACCCTGTTTCATCTGGCAGTGGGACTTGGTGTGACATATTGCACATCAGCCAAGTAAGGGGTCACCACTGTTAATAAGATGCCATCCAATTCGGAAAGTGGTCCGACTCCTAATGTTGCTGGCACAGTCAGGGGGTCAACAGCTAAGGAGTGCCACTGCAGGGTTGGGGGGGGGGGGGCGGTGAGCGTGTCACGGGCTGGAGCTTCAATTACAAGGAGAGAGTGCCTCAATAACTGGGTGCCCTCAAAGATAGGTTAGTTAGGTTGATGAATGCCAGGGCCAACCAGGCAAGACAGGGCAGTTGCTGGGAGCGCTGGGTCACTGAATAATAATGATGTTGCCATAACAGCAGCTTATATCAACAGGGAGCCCCTCCTTGGACAATGAAGTGTTTTTAAAGATGGCCCCCATCCACCACCTTCAAACCCACTGGTACGTCATCAGATCTAAGTTAGTCGCCTTACCACATTGTAGCAGACTCTTTAGCCATGAACAAAATTCCCCTGGAGGTGGGAAGTAGCTCTTAATTGGCCAATTGGTAATTAAGCTGCCAATTTGCCCATCACTGGCAAAATGGCATGCAGATGGGAAGCCATTGGGCACCATGATCAATGTCATCCAACATAGCCACCAGCCCGAAAATCCCAGACATTAGATCAGACAATCTAAAGCTGGGGCAAATCGTAGATTTTATAGAACACCTTCAATGAGTAAAGAGATATGGAAAGGCAGTGAGGTATTGGGAGGGAACTCCAGACCTTAGGGCCTAAACAACAGAAGGCATGCCCAACAATACTATGGCTATATAGTATGGGAATGCTCCAGAGATGAGATTTAGAGAAGCACAGATGCTTGGACAGTTGTGAGACTGGAGGGGGTTACAGAGAGGAAGGGATGAGGAAATGAAGGAACTTGAGAACAAGGATGAGATTTTTAAAATTGATAAGTCGTTTAACCAGGAGCTAAAGCAGGTCAGTGGGCACAGGAATGAAAGCTGAACAGGATTTTTTTGCAGATAGGAACACGGCCAGTAGAATTCTAGGTAACCATTAGCTTATGGTAGGTAGAACATAGGAAGGAAGGCAGGAGCAGAAATTGTTAAGCCTAAAGGTAACACAGCCCTGAATAAGATTTCAGCAGCAGGCGAGCTGAGATAAGAGCAGTGCTACAGAGCTGGAAAATAGGCAGCCTTAGTGGCACATATCATGCAGATATGTGACAGTTTTAGTCATTTTATGGTTCTGGAAATACAAACTGTTTTAATTAGGTTATACCTTCTTTCTCTTTCCTCTGACACATTTTGTGAATATTTGTTTCAACATGAGAGATTATAGCGCATTCGTGGAAGAAATGGTTGGGATGACTTACTGAGTTTGACAGTGTGAAAGAGCCCTGTTGTGTTCTATTACACAGATGCACAGATATGCAGTGAGATGTAAGGAATATTTTCTTGTGATCAGAGAAGTTGCTCAGACAGGCAGGGAGTAAATGTCACAATGACTTAGGACAAATTTCTTCTGTGCATTGTTAGTGGCAGCATCTATATGCAGTATTGTTTAAGTGTTGCAATATCTATCCAATTCCAACAATTCAAATCAAATTTCTAATATCCTTCCCTCATTTTCCATCATTTGCCGATGCTTCCAGTTTGAGCAATTTGTTGGAGAATGGATTTCACGGAGACAACTGGAGAAAATAAAAGCTATATAAATTTGTGTTAGTCATAGGGGATATTTATGTTGCAACGAACTACTGTGATGCATCTCAACTTGGCTTTCCTCACGTTTTAAGGAACAATATTGCAACAACACATCATCAGTCATGCCTCAAAATGACCAATTATATTTATGTTGCAATGAAACTATGAGATTTATATCAATGCATTTTAATATAGTTTGTGGCAAGTTTGGGGTCTTGAAATTCTAACTCCAACTTATAGGTTTTGTCGGTGTACTTGAAGTTAACAATTAGCTTTTTAAATATACAATACCCATAATTCTATCCACAGTTTCCAGGGAACTATCCAAAAGAATTAGTGGGAGAATTTTCCCTTTCAGTCTGTGCTGGGAAATTGTTCGAAAGGGAGGCATGGATCAAGCTACAAAGTGCTGAGAAGTTTTTTGTTGGAGTAACATGTGCTACGCAGTGTTTTTATGAAAAGGATTTTATAGGAATGAAATTATTTTTGAACAAGAAGGTATTATTAATCCCTGACCAGTGTGTTGGGTTACAATGGGAGATAAAGAAATGAAGTTAAGTTTTTAAAGTCTTTTAACAAAAAAAAAAGTCGTGTTAAGGACAATATAGCACTGGAAGGAAACTGAGTAAAGAGCGTAACAATAATAAAAACCAAAAGAACTGCGGATGTTGTAAATCAGGAACAAAAACAAAGTTGTTGGAAAAGCTCAGCAGATTTGGCAACATCTGTGAAGGAGAAAACAGAGTTAACATTTCGGGTCTGGTGACCCTTCCTCAGAACTGATGGTGGCTGGGAAAACGTCAATTTATATGCAGAAAATAGGGAGGTGGGTGGGGTAGCGAGTAAACGATAGGATAGAGACCAAAGAGAGAGAAAGACAGTTGGACAGACAAAGGAGTTGCTAGCAATCGGGCTGGGAGGGTGAATAGTTGTTAATGGGGACTGTTAGTGACTAACAACAGGGGGTGTGTAATGGCAGGCTATGTGGTAACAAGGGGTGGGGGGCTGGGACATGGGAGAGTTTAGGCCCTAAAATTATTGAACTCAATATTGAGTCCGGAGGGCTGTAGGGTCCCCAAGCGGAAAATGGGGTGTTGTTCCTCCAGCTTGCATTGGGCTTCACTGGAACACTGCAGCAAGCCAGAGACAGAGATGTTGGCCAGGGAGCAGGGTGGTACATTGAAGTGGCAGGCAACAGGTAGTTCAGGGTCTTTTTTGCGAGCAGAACGTAGGTGTTCTATGAAGCGGGCACCAAGTCTACGCTTCGTTTCCCCAATCTAGAGGAGACCACATTGTGAGCAGCGAATGCAGTAGATTAGATTCTGAGAAGTGCAGGTGAAGTGTTGCTTCACCTGGAAGGTATGTTTGGGCCCTTGGATACTGGGGAGGGAGGAGGTAAATGGGCAGGTGTTGCACCTTCGCCGGTTACAGGGGAAGGTGCCGTGGGGCTGTGGGGAGGTGTTGGGGGTGAAGGAAGTGTGGACCAAGGTGTCCCGGAGGGAATGGTCCCTGCGGAAGGCGGACAAGGGAGGGGAGGGGAATATGCGTCTGGTGGGGGCATCTTGCTGGAGGTGGTGGAAATGGTGTCTGATGATCAAAATAATAATAATTTGA